ACAAGTTCCCAGAGGATGCTGCTGGTGGTGGTCCAGGGAATCAGACTTTGAGAACCACTGGTCTCAATCAACCGATCCCACTCTCCTTTTGTCAGATACTCACTTTGTTAACTCCCCTTGCAAGTGGGAATGGTCATATGACCCAGTTCTGGTCAGTGAGACAGAGGGAAGTCTGCAGAGTAACTTCTGGGAAAGATTTTTCTCCCATAAAAGACCTTTTTTGTCACCTGTGGTCTCATGAAAACATATTTGGTCCTGAGGCAGCCATCTTGCAAACCATGAGGTAACCAGCCTGAGGATGAAAAGCCAACATGCCTAGGACAGCCGTGCAGAAAAAGAGAACAAAACATGGGTACGTGTGTGTGAAATTGTGATTTATAGCAGGAAGCAAATATTGGGTCTTCCTCCCATTCCTGCCACGGTCCTAAAACCCTTGGAATTTCCTATGATGAGAGTGACAAAGGCATTTTTTGTTATGTCAGTGACATGAGGTTTGGATTGCCTAAGTAGGGATGGGGCTGATTGCCAGGGGAACCAACCAGATATAGAGGTTTGGAACATTGATGATTGGCCATCATCAATGGCCAATGACTGAATCAATCATGCCTGTGTAATGAAACCTCCATAAAAACCCCAAAATGAGGGGATTCAAGGCACTTCCAGGTTGGAGAACCAGAAAGCTTCTGTGTGCTACTGGGCCAGGCTCCAACTTCCACAAGGACAGAAGCTCCTTTCTTCATTCAGGACCTCCCCATGCATGTCCTCATCTGGCTGTTGATTTATATCCTTCATAATCCTTTGTAATAAACTTGTAATCTAGCGAGATAACTGGTTTCCTGGGTTCTGTGAGCCATTCTAGCAGATGTATTGAACATAAGGAGGAGGTCCTGGGAACCTCTGATCTACAGCCATGTGGTCACAGGGAACAACCTGGACTTGTGACTGGCATCTGAAGTTAAGGGCCATGTTGGGACTGAGCCCATAACCTATGGGATCTCATGCTATCTCCAGGTAGAAAAGAGTCAGAATCGAGTTGAACTGTAAGACATCCAGCTGGAATTAAAGAATTGCTGGGTGGTATGGGGGAAAACAATCTATACATAAGAATTGGTACCACAATCTTGAACTTCTTACTAGGGAACTGATGCACCAAACTTGAAACAACCTTCCTCCAGGCTTCTTACTATGCCAGTTAAGTGAACTTTTAACACAGTGTTTATCATTGTTAGGGCAATGTCCCTTTTCCTGGCATCATGTTCTGTGTGGAAAGACACGTAACACTCTGGCTACTCAATCAGACAAGTAAGTGACTTACAGGTAGACTTAGTAGAAGGGACTGAGCTCCTTCATCTCATCTGAAACCATCTGCTACACAGAGGTATACTTTGCTTTTCTCTCTCTGATTTAGTAAGGTTAGTGGGGCTGACCCCGTTCTCATGGGGGGGGGGGCTGTGCTGCCAACGACTGGAAGAGACAGAATTTCTAAAATGGCCCATGAAAATATCCCACCCTAATCCCCAGGGCCTCTGGTGTGATGAGCTATCTATCACTCCCATGACTAAATCATATGGCACAGCTGACCTCAAGATAGGGAAATCATCCATGTGAGACTGACCCAATCACATGAGCCCTTAAAAGCAGGGCACTTTCTCAGGCTGGTGGTAGAGGGACAAAGGAAAGTCAGAGAGTTACAAAACACAAGAATTCCATGTTGGCTTTCAAGATGGAAGGGTCATGTGCCAAGGAATTCAGGCAACTCCTAAGAAGCTGGGAAAGGCCTCCACCTGACAACCAGCAAGGAAACAGGAATCTCAGTCCTACAACCATTGCCAAAGCCTGAATGAGTTTGGAAGCAGATTCTTCTGCAGATCCAGAGCCCAGCTCAAGCCAATACCTATATTTCAGTCCCATGCTCTGCCGAGCACAGCACCCAGCCAAGCCCACTCAGACTTCTGACCTACAGAACTATGATATGACAAATGGGTGCTGTTTTAAGCTTCTGCACTTGTGATAATGTATTACACATCAGTAGAAAATTACTCCGGCAGGGAAGTCGTTCCGATTCAGGGTGAAGTGGTTAATATGTCTTTTTCAGCATCAAAACCAAAGCTACAAGGCATCTGGGTGGCTCAGGTCATGATCTCAGGGTCCAGGGATCGAGCTGAACTCAGGCTCCCTGCTCCCTCTGCACCTCCCTCTCCCTTTGCTTCTCCCTCTCCCTCTCCCTCTGCACCTCCACTTGTGCACTTGCTCACTTGCTCACTCTCTCTCCAATGAATAAATTAAAAACCTTTAAAAAAACACACACATATCTCCATCCTCTGCTCAGCGTATCAGCAGTAAAGCTAACGTTTTAATCTTCATCAGATTCTTATGTCTACTTCTCAATTAGTTCTGATTTCGGAAGGGAAAAATGGAAAAAATGGGGGGGAAGGTTTTATTTATTCATCCAATATAAACCTCAATAAGCAGATACTATATTACTCTACAGCCAAAAGCATTCCTAAATAATACATTAACCTCCAGCAACTCTTTAAAATGAGTCTCAGCCCTGGCATGTGGTAGAAGGACCCAAATCATGTCATCTCAGAACACGGGCACCCAGAAGGCTTATTTCATATTTTATCTTTACTCCACTAAAAATTCCCTCTCCCCTACAGTGGAAAGAAAACATAACAGATGAAGAAAAAGACTTAATCTTTGAATGGGGAGGTGGAATGTATCTTCCCTCCGGGAACTAGAAATCCACAACCCCCACTTTGTCGATTTATGAAATTTTCAATTTTTCAAATAATCACCTAAGAGGAGCTGGCCTTTGAGATGTAGTTTAAATGAATGGCAAAGAGCTTTGAGATTTTCCACCAAAGCTACAGGCATCCAGTGAAGTGCAGAAGGGGTTGTTTGTGTATTCAGGGAGAGTGCTCATACTCCTCCTGGAACTCCATCACCCCTTCCAACACCACCTCCAATGTTCTGCAAATGCATACATCGTGTGCTGCCAATTCGATAATATACTGCTGTTTCCTTCCTAAAAGACTCCCAGTCTTTGATGGCGCTGCAAGGAACTGAGTGCGCCATCAGCATAAAAATGAAATGCAAGGTTTTTAAGGCTCTGTCCCAGAGTCCTTTGAACCATCCATCTGAGAGGCAGCTTTAAGGTAAGGAGACTAGTACTCCCCACTGACAGTTCGAAATTCATTAGGGGAAACTAAGTCCCCCAATTCAGGAGCAGATGTGGTCACAATGATAGCAATCTCTTCCTTCATTTAGAATACAGTAATGAATTTTTTTCCCCTAAGGGGGAATTTCAAAAGCTTTTAGTGCAATCCTTTCTTTCTACAAATAAGGAAACTGAGATCTAGAGAAGCTACATAAAAATAAAAATGCCAGATCAGCCATTTCCCCATTTGAATCCTGTTCTTCTGCGTGTTCAACCCACCAGACTCACTTCTCTCTAACTTGGAGGGGGCCAGGAGGCGGTGGCTAAAAGGGTACCTCTGAGAAGTTCCAAATGGCTCTTGGAGACAGGTTGCCATGTCCGGTTTCAGGAGACCTGAACATCTGAGAAGCAGAGAAGCTGAGCTCTGACGGTTTCCATGGTGACCACTGAGCCCAAGTTCATGCTTTAAAGAGTCAGCTGGCCAAGCCAGCACCCGGGAGCAAAGGTTGTGGGACATTCCAGGAAAATCCATGCACCGCTGAGCTCCTCAGATGAAACCTGGATGGGTGGCTCAGCTATTAATAAGGGCTTCATTTGGAAGACAGATACACAGCAGATCTGCACTCTTCATATCTGGCCCTGTGCCAAGCTCTCTTCCATACATTATTTCATTTAATCATCACCAAAACGTTCTAAAGTGGATTTGAATTCTATCCTCCTCTTTCACCGATGAGTAAACTGAGGCCGGCTTCACCCAGGATCACTAAGCTCCTAAAAGGTGGCTCTAAGTCAGTTCTCCTGCCCTGTTCTTCCACTCTAACAAACCTGAAACCGCTCACCTGGCAGCTCCCTTGCCTTCTTCTAAAGAGAAGTCGTGATTTCTTGTCTCAGAGAGAAAAAGCAAGTGCAGCTTTAGAACTCACCACTGATCTCCCTGTGGCCATATTCCTAGATTCTAAAAGGGTCTCAAGTTGTCGTTTTTAAATATTAAGTCATCCTGAGAAACAACTCCCTGAAGAAGGTTTGAAAGAATCGAGAAGTAGGTCAATAATGAAAAAGAGAGCAGAACCAATGTGACATATGAGTCAAACAAGTTTTCTGTGAAATCATACGAATATGTGTTCATTAAAGGGCATTGGGAACCCCAGGCCAATCACTTCTGCTCCACAAGCCTGTCACTGAGGCCAGGAATGCCATCTTTAGTAAATAAAGGTAAGTATTCTCAGGAAGAAAAACCCACCAAGATATTGGTAATCATCATCAACATCTCAGTATAAATTAGTACATCAGTGTACTATTGCTGGGAGAGCGCTCAGAAGTGAGAGGACAGAGGGTGGGGCCATAAAGAGACAGATACAAAGCATGACTCAGTATCTGGACAAGGCAGGCTTCTGGAAGAGGTCTCAGAAGCTAGGATCAGCCTAAGATACTGGAGTTGGAAATAAAAAGGAATGAAGAATCCCCGATAACAAAACAAATGGGTTTACTTCTCTACTTTATCACAAATACACTTAGAAACCCAACTTCCATCTTGGAGCTGGAACTGAGTATGCCTCCCATCTTCAGAAAAATCTAGTTTTGGCAAATGTGTAGCTAACCCTCTTGTGTTGTGATTCCAGAAATACCACTGTAAAGAGGGAAATTGCTAAAGAGAAGGGAGTTTAGTCACAGTACCTGTGACTACCACTGGCCAAAATAAAAAAATACAATTATAACATTAAACCCTTCCACTAAAAGTAACAATGATATGATAATACCCTGATCATTCCTTCTGGATCCCATCAGGCTAAAACGCCAGTTAGATCACAGAGGTGAGGGTTTAAGTAGATGCAGTACTCACTCGAAAGACCTTCTCCACTCTTGCAATGCTCTTCCCAAAGATGGTTCCAAGTTGGTCTCCAATTCCAGCCAATAAGAAACCAAAGAGTGGAATTCCAAAGATGGCATATAAAATACAAAATATTTTGCCTCCTTCAGTGCTTGGAGCAATATTCCCATACCCTGGTGAGAAACAGTAAAAAGAGAGAGGGAGAGTGGTAAGGTGGGAGAGAAATCAGAGAGCTGAACCAGAAAATCTGCAGATTTCTTGAAGGGTTTCTGTACTTGCCTACTGCATGAGCTTCAGGGAGTAGGGCATCATTAAAGGGCCTCTAACATTCAGAACACTGTTCCATTGCTTCTTTCCATTCTCTCCCTGAGAAGTTTTTTTTTTTTTTTAAGATTTTATTTATTCATTCATGAGAAACAGAGAGAGAGAGAGAGAGAGAGGCAGAGACACAGGCAGAGGGAGAAGCAGGCTCCATGCAGGGAGCCTGACATGGGACTTGATCCCGGGACTCCAGGATCATGCCCTGGACTGAAGATGGCACTAAACCGCTGAGCCACCCGGGCTGCCCCCGAAAACAGTTTTAAGGAGAGCCAGGCTTCCTGGATCTTAACGTGTATAATTAGATTATATTTTAGGAAATTTGTTATCACCCAGAATTGCATTGCTGTTGAAAACCAGTATCATTCATTTCAGAAACACCAAATATCTCGGACAGGTGTGGTTCAGGGAGACCTGAACACCCAAGGAAGGTTCGCCGTTGCCATTTTTTTAATTGGAAAAGAGCTTGTCCTTTACAGTCTCATCCCATGAGCATCCCTTTCACTTGACAGACTTACTGTCTTCAACATTTGGCTCCACAGGGTGATGGGTGATCAACATTAGGTAGGATCTATGGTCTAGCACAAATTCAGAAAGGACTCATGGTTCATACTGCCCTACCCTGAGAAGCCTGAAAACAGTAGAAAGGGAAGGAAGATTGTGCCTCTTCCTGCATTGACAGGGATGTTTAGCTCTACTTGGCTCTCTTTCTCTCTACTGGGAACTTTGCATTGCCTCTGGGTCCTGCCTCTCCTCCCACCTGCTTCTTTCAAGGGCTATCAGGTCCTAAACACATGTTTATTGGAGGAATGGACGTTTGAATATAAAAGAATCTTTTTATACCCATGTCTATCATATGTATTTCAAATAGTGCTTGAAAACACCAACACCTGCATTCTTAAGAATTCTGCGATTATGGAAGCAACTTATGTATAGTGAGCACCGGGCTTCCTCTATATGGATGGGGCTAAGAAAAGTAGTGCTGGGAGGGAAAGGCCATGGTATTAGTACAATTTAGAGAAAGATGAGAATCTAAATTGCTTGATATTTAGTTTCCTGCCAATGAATATTGCAATGTTATGCTACCCAGCATCTGGATAGTCACCTAACTATTATCCCATATTAGGTAACTCGTGGAGTCAGGGAGTCTGTTTCTAAATCCATGCAGTGGGTGAGTTACTGGGTTGGTGGCTGTGGGCATGTTAGTGACGCAGCACAGCCAGGGACAATGTTAGCGCTGCCCCATTCTGCACCCTCCACGAACCTAGAGAACTCACGGCTGCTGTCTGCCTTTGGGTGATGAGTCACCTGGCTATTTTCCTTTTCAATTTTCTTGTCAGACTCATTGAAACCTTTTATCATGAATTATCTAAATTATAGTTTCCATTTCTCAAATGAGTGTTCAGGCAAGCCTTCTTCATCTTGCGTTCCTTTTACTCATCACCATTTCCACTTTAATACTGCAAAAAAAAAAAAAAAAAAAAAGCTCCTGGAACTATTTTCCAGGTGCTTTCAGAGACTTGGCAAAACCATTTTTCTAAGTGTTCCCCTCTAGAATAATCCAATTTACACTGAAAAGGGGATAAATGTGCCTACACAGCTTCACTTCACACAGATCGATGGGAACCTGCAAAAACATTTATGACTCTTGCTCGACTGTCTCAGAGTTGCCCAATCACTGTCACAGAATGTGGGTTTTCTTTAGTCTCAGTATCTCAGAAAGACGCATATTGTAGACAACAGCACAGGCAAACAAATTGAGGCTTTGAGCCTGCTGAATAGGCATCTTATTAGCCCAGACAAGAGGTGCATACTCTTCCCCTAGCTTTTGGTGAGGATATGCCCCACTGCCTGGCTAAGGACTGTGTTCAGGGAACTTTCTGGTATCATCCAAAGAGCATGACAAGGAAGTGAGAAAGCAGAGGCTCCTGATCCAATTCCACCTCATTCTGCCTGGTTGTCCCCAGGCTCACTTAGCCTCTGCAAATCCCAGTGTGAGAGGGGTTCAAGGATAATGTGGAAAAATAAGTGAACTGTAAAGTACCATAGCAATGCAAAGCAGTATTATTACTAGCAGTGTTATTATTACCATTGGCTCCTTATTTATTCAGTGTTTCACAGAGTAGAACACTAAACTACAGTTAAAGCAAAGTTCTTGGGTAAGGACCCCAGTGAAGTAATATCCACTGATATTCAAAGAAGCCCTTAAATATATTTAAGGCCATCACTTCTTACTGGGCATATGGTAATTCCCATTCTTGAGAAACATTGTGTTTGTGCACTGTGTGTGTGTACACCCGTGTGTGTGTGTGTATGTGTGTGTGTCCCTTGCCTCTGATGTACTATATGGAAAAGCTGTTCCAGTGGAGCCCTCAACCCTATCATTCTAGACTTTTAACATTCTGGAGCTTTGCTCTGAGGCAATGGAGGGCCACATTCCTGGATTTTTGGCTCTACTTTACTGGGCCTGTTAGACTGCCCTGCCCATCCTTCCAGAATCCTTAGCAGAACTTTGAAGTAGGGAGTGATGGTTATATAGGCTCAAGATTAGAGACTATAGAGCGTCCTGTTCTGACACTTCTACTTCCTGACTCTCAGATCTTAAGGATTTCCCTAATCTTTCTGCTTCACTTTCCTCTTCTGAGATGGGGCTACTGACAGTATCTGCCTTGCAACTATTAAAGATGAAACAAGGAGAGCCTTGGTGGCTCAGTTGGAGAGGTACCTGACTCTTGGTTTCAGCTCAGGGCATGATCTCGGGCCCATGGGCTTGAGCCCCGTGTCAGGCTCCACACTCAGCATGGAGTCTGCCTGTGATTCTCTCTTTCCCTCTCCCTCTGCCCCTCTCTTGCCCCTAAAATAGATAAATAAATCTTTTTTTAAAAAAAAAAGAAAGATGAAATGGGTTACATGCAAAGTACAAGTTGCCTGTGGAGATGAAATACATGTAAATCATGACACAAAGTAAGCACTCAGTAAGTATTAACAATTATCATCTTGCCCGGGGTTTTCTGTAGGAAGGGATCAATTCTGAACAATACGTCTCCAGGAAAACTAAGCCCCAAGAGAAAACAGAGGGTTGGTTCCTGTCTTTCCTCCAGAAACTCCCCTTTCTCCCACAGTGCTAGGACAAGGGAAAGAATGTCTGTCACTGGGACCGGCTCAGTGGGTTGGAGGGGCCCACCGCTGCGTTTGGGGTATGGCAGGCATCTCTTGGTGCAGCTTGGGCAGCAACATCTGGGAAATGAGATGAGGTGACATGGCAGCGAGAGAGGCAATTGGTCAGGGAGAACTAGTCCAGGACATTAGAATTGGCTTTAAGGGGGACACCTTGGTGACTCAGTAGTTGAGCATCCATCTTTGGTTTTTTGTTTTTCGTTTTTTAAAGATTTTATTTATTATTCATGAGAGACAGAGAGAGAAGCAGAGGCACAGGCAGAGGGAGAAGCCGGCTCCGTGCAGGGAGCCCAATGTGGGACTTGATCTCCGGTCTCCAGGATCACACCCTGGGCTGAAGGCAGGCGCTAAACTGCTGAGCCACCCGGGCTGCCCCGAGCATCCACCTTTGGCTCAGGGCATGATCCCAGGGTACCAGGATCAAGTTCCGCATCAGGCTCCCCACAGGGAGCCAGCTTCTCCCTCTGCCTGTGTCTCTGCCTCTCTCTGTGTTTCTCATGAATAAATGAATAAAATCCTTAAAAAAAAAAAAAGAAAGAAAGAAAAGAAAAAGAACTAGCTTTAAGGAAAGCAAAAGAAATCTGAAGAGTGACTTTTGGCAGATGACCAGCCCAGCAAGAACCATCTGTTACAAAAAGGTGAACCAAGGCAGGGCTTAGTTGCGTTCACCTCTAGCCAGAAAACAGTGCTGGGCCCTTTTTGTAGAGAAAGCTGATGTTTAAAGAAGGCTGCCTGAGTAGCTCACGTGTAACACTTCAATTTGCTATTCACATGCCAAAGTCAAATCTTTGCCAAACCATGTGCTATTCAACCCTGTTATTTGGTGAAGAGTGTGCATTCTAGAATCAGAACATCTATGAGTGCTAAAGTGGCTTTCATGGGATGCAATCTGTGCACCCACACTAAGAAGGGCCCCATACTTGGTTGATGGATCTGCTATTGCCAGTTTGATGTTCTTAATCATTTTTTTAGCAAGGGACCACATTTTCATTTTGCACTGGGCCCTACACATTATGTAACTGATCCTGGTGAAGGAAGCCAGGCTCCACTGCTTACTAGCTATGAGATATTGGCCAGGTTACTTGACATCTTAGAGCCTCAGTCTTCTCATTGGTAAACTAAGGCAAAGAATAATACCTACTAGATATGCTTAATGAGAGACTAAGTGAGATAATTATGTGGAACCCAGTGCCTGGCACCTAGTAAGACTCAGTAAACATTAGCTGCAATGACTGCTATTTCCAAAGCCACAGGTTAGCATCCAGTTCAGGTGCCGCATAAGTAGAAACAGCTGCAAAGGTACTTTGGCAGGTACAACTCTTAATTAAGGCCACTCACTGGGCAAGTGACAGTGACTAGCTACTATCTGGGACCTGACCAGGGGCTCTCTCTGATATGAGTAGTCAAGTGACTCAATCCAAAAATGCCTTGAAGACTAAAATCTACCAGCATTCCATAGCTGTTGGTAAGAATGCCATCATTTGCTGCCCTCTACAAATAATGGTTTGTGGGAAAGCATCTGAACAAAGGAGTGAGCATCACTCCTCCAGCTTAGAAACCCTCGTTGCTGGGGACCCACCGGCAGTCAACAGTCAAGAACAGGACTATCCCACATCAGAATTAGTTACTGAGAAAGGGGACAAGCAAAGACTGAACAGAGTCTAGTCTTCCTCTGACA